CTATTGCAGTCTCCTCCCAGCCCTCTCCACCCTGCTCATTCTGTCTGCCCGTCTAGTGGTCTGTCTGTCAAGCAATGTAACTATTTCTGTATGAAAAGACTTTTATTTTCAAAGAGACCAACCCGACCATCTTCCTCGTCTAAATGGTCTACATGGTCAAATATTTACCTCAGCTTTCAAAGATGAGCTAATTAGGCAGTTTAATTCTCAAAATATTCACAAGTTTTGATTCCAATTGCAAACTTACTTAAACAGGATACTAAATACCAAACATGCCCTGATTATAATTTAGATCAAAAAACAATTCAAATAGCTGGGGAAGCCAACCTTTAGCTGATATCGGAAGAAACGGGTTGAATTCGCAGAAATCAATCCGGACATTTGATTATGTGTTAGCAAGGTAGTTTTTCAATGCACACCTTTGTGTTTCAAAAGATCGCTTGGAAATTGTAATCGTTCAGAGAGACCAGATAAAGCAGGCTTTCTTCAGCTACCGAACAGATTTCCATCTCCACTTCATAACCACACTTAGTACATTATATTCTAACGAAGATTTTATCCGATATAATGGACACACTTCCTTCCATCAAGTGCTCTCCAATACAGAGTAACGCCACACTTACATTGATAACACTCTTGATTTTAAGATCCATTTCCATTCTACGGCGAAGGCTATCAAAGAAGATGATGAAGACAACTGAAGACAATCAAACTGTGGCTTTACAAGATGATCCTCGGGCACTTGCCGGTAAAAAAAAAAAACAGTGTTCCTCGGTTGGGAGTAAGGAAGTACACTGGTTTCCAGAGTGGAAGGGTACCGTAGGTCCATTTGGGATTAATTAATTAATTAATTAATTAATTAATGCACAATTCGAAGCAAGGTCCGCACAAGTTCAAATATGATAGTGAGCCAAATAACGTTGTGCATCCAAGGAGAAATGTGGCTCGAGGAACTTGACACATTCTTGAGAATGTCTTGAAACAAAAAGAGACAGTCAGGAAATGGATAAAAAAATAAATAAACAACCATATGAAATGATAAAATTGTGTTATTTCACCACCCCAAGATCGATGAGGCTTGACAGCAGATCCACTCAGGGAAACTCAGTACCTCATCACCACTAGCTGGTCCACTGAGGTTCAATATATATTGTATATTTTTGCAGTTCATAGGGACATGAAAACAATGATGACTTCTTAGTCATAATCACAGACGTCTAATTACCCTTAAATGCTCACATTTAGACTGAGTTTAAAGACTCAGTATTATGCCAATTATTACCATTACCATCGTATGATGTCACTTCAATTTCACGAGTTCACTTGCATGCAAAAACAATCCTGTTTTACCTTTTGTTGTCTGATTTCTATTTTCCTGGCCAGCTTTACTCCCTTGGTCGCTCTTTTGTCCTTCTTTCAAAGTAACAATGTATTTCTGCCGATAGCGGCATACGAACGGGTAATACAGTTCGGGAGCATGCCTAACCGCTATGCGCGACCCGTTCAACTGCTGAGAATTGTCCACAACATTTTGATATACAATGTGATCAAGCTCTACCCCCAGGGTTGTTCCGCAACCTTGGAAGGGTACCCGAAATAAAGCGCGAGTGTTAGTCACTTGTGGTTTGCAGGAAAAATGCCTTAGATGAAGTGAGGTTGGTTTTATTTTTGGGAGATCTTGCAAGTCCATTTCAAGAAGCATGAAATTCTCCAGGCATTGTAAACTGATGCGATTGTCATCCAGAGTCGGCAACGATTTACCTGAAATTAAATAAAACACCTTAGTTAGGGGAAAAGTGTGATAATTAGTGTTTTAGTACGACACAAACTCAAAATAAAAAAAAAAGAAAGAAAGAAAGAGAGGAAAGAGTGCACCTTTACAAGAGTCAACTTTCTTCTACGCTAAGGTTTCTCCAATTAAACGCACATCAATAAACTCAAAGCTTCGTCTCAAAATTAAATTAGTCGCCGCTCATGGAGTAGCGCGGCGAAGATAGCAAAAACATGTTTAGCGAAATGTCGTAGATATTCAGCAGAGCGTAGCTTATGCCCTCCTAGCACATTGGAACGTTGTGTCATGACACCAAACGCAAACAGTTTTGACATAGCGTATTCTCATGGACAACAGGTTTTGCATGTTGCTGAAATACAATGGTGATCTGCACTACCCAGCTAGGTTCTTATCCTAACCATTTCAATAAATATGTTTATCCATTACAAGTCAGTATTGAAAGAAACAATATAAGTACTCTACAAACAGTTAGCTTCAGTGTGGATTGTTTTAAAGCGAATACCCGGGTACATGTACTCACACAAACAGACATTATCAAGTATGATCCAAACGATGACAAATCCTTTGATGAGCCTGTATTCCATTTCAAATGACGACGAATTTCAAATTCTTTGCTGAAATCAGCTCAAAACGAAGAGATGAGAGGGCCTGCTTTCTAACGTTATATCCGAGATTGTTATATCAGGCTTGCTAAGTACGCAGACTAATACTGGCAGTATCACCTCAAGTGAGCCAGACAAATGTAATCTTCACCTTTTTTCACAGCTGATATGCACGAATATTGCAGGTACAGATTGCGCTGATTGATAGAAACCTCACGATTGGCACAATCTTTCTTTGCATATATTGAACAGAATGCAGAACATTTTCATAAGTTTTTAAGTCACGTTTCAGAGAAATTGATTATGTGTTGTCAAGCTGAAAAACAATTACTCATAATTGGCCTAAAGGTATTCTGCTGGTACCTGCCCGTTTTACAGACTTTCTCCAATAACATATTCATTTCATGTTTAAAAAGGCGTTGTTTACAAAAAAGTGATGTAGGCAGGAGTTGATTGATATCTTTTCTCTTGAATGCAAGGGCCCACAGTTTATTCTCGCGGAACATACTCAGTAGAGGGCGACCATAATTTTCCTCGCTCGTGCGCTGCGTGACTCATAGCACCGCATTCTCGTTCTAAGTCCTCGATTCTTTTGATCGCGCGTTAGGAGAAACAGTAAGTTGAAGCGAGGGGCCCTGGGAACGAAAATGATGACATCGTAAACTACATCAAAATCAACTGTATGAATTATGGACTCAAGTTATCCTGAGAGAGCGACAATGGGCGATTTCTCTGAAGAGAGTCGTACAGTGGAGCTTTGTAACACAATTCTCGGCGAACACCCTGACAAGGGAAAATAACGAATCACGGCTCCCATACATCGGGATTTATCATATGACCCGTTCGGCCCCTCTCACTCAATCGTGTAGAAAACCAAACGGATATAGGCTGACGTGAGCCGGTCCGCAAAAAGCCGTCCGGCCCTGAAATGGTACTGCTTTGTTTATCTTAGAACTTTTGTTCCGAAAACGTGAATTCGAATCGTGGACTTAACCATGGTGGGAATCAGAAATGAGAAATAACTCGCGGTTTTCGATGAATTGTGATTTTCTGGCTCTGAGTCGAATAAAAGGAAAGGAAAATTTTTGAGGAATCTTCGTGCGCCCCTTCTATCGTGTCCTATCAGGGATGAAATTTTCAACACTTGTGATCATAGGGTAGACTGTTTATTGAGTGAGTTTGGTCGGGTCGGAAGGGAAGATATTTGGCTCTCGTTCATGATGACGCAAGGATCTTACGCATGACCTCGAGCCAAATATACCAACTGATACGCACTGTTTACAGTTTGGATTGAGGAGGGCTCATCGTACACCCGAACCAAACGCATATCCCTATTCCAATTTCTCATATGCCCTTAGCGCTAGCAGACCCCCTCTTTTCGGTCTAAACAGTGTTCAGAAATGGTTAAACGAAAATTTCATCTTCTGGATGCTGAACTGGATCTCAAGAATTCAGCTTTGCTTTTCCGGTGTGATTCGTCGAGCCAAGTGGCCCACCCAGTTTCCATAGCATTGAGCAAAGAGAAGCTCCTTTCCCCCCGACTCCCGGTAGGTTATGCAAATGCGCATCGAAGTATGTTCGAATATTCTTCCAGAACAAGTAATTTGTTTTGCGCTTGTCGGATTGGCTAGAGAATACGTAGCCTTCTTGTCAATCCATCTGTTCAGAGTTTAGAAACGAAACGCGTTTGAGGTGGCGTAGGGTCGAATTAATGAAAACATTCATGAACTGCAAATACCCCCCGTCACGCCTGGGTTGCTGAGAAAATATAGTTCTCACGTCTGTGAAGTCCTGTTTCCGCACGAAGGATGACTAATATTTTGCAACAGCACGTACGAGATGCAAATACTATTGCATGTATAGTTTCGTAAACTTACGACTGTGGTGTTAAAAAGCACAACAATCTTATTCATCGCTGTTATTTCAAAACAAAATGTATTTTTAATTCGTTTGATCCCTTAAGGTATTGCAGATTTTAAACAAATGCTAAAAAATGTAAACTTCATCAAGGTCAAGGTATACAAAAAAAAAAAGAAAAAAAGAAAGAAAAAAATAGTTTAGAAGCACTTCAAACCATTCGAAACAGCCTTTTCATTGGAGAGAAATGTCGAGAAGTGAAATTTGCTTGCTTCATTCTGTCACGTTAATTAACAAGTCAAAATATTCAAGTCTTCAAAAAACAGTAACCGGCAAATATTATAAATATACGAGACTGCGGAATTGTAATAATCCACGCGTACAATTACCTTGTATACGTTAACCAATGTGACTCAGCATAAATATTGTTAACAGTTGTAGATGTCACTTTAATTTACGTTCTGAATACTACCAAGAACAAAATTAATTTTCAGTTAGAGCCTGCGAAAACAATCGTTTTCTATGGAAATAATTGCATGTGACTTGCATTACAATGTTCACCGAAAACGCAAAGTACTTGGTTGCGAAGTTACTAAACTAACATTAAAACTATATTTTAGTAAAGCGAGAAAACTTTTGGTAAAATCCTTACCAAAGCGACCACGTGCTAAAATCTTTCAGTCAGAATTCAAAACAATATAAACTCAAAGTTTGTATTAAAATTTCATTACATGCCCGCAAATGAGAGAACAAACAGAATATATTTGCATGTTCTGTTGTTGCACTGTTGCTTGAAAATTTGGGACGCACGCACTTGTTTTGGAAGCGAATGATACCATTCTAAACTCGACAAAATCTCGCTAAGATCTTTACTACAAGCTGCAAAATATGGGAAGTCACTATTTTTACCGAAGCAGCACTAATATCATTGTCTTAACAGTTATCAATTTTAATTCAACATCGAAGATAGTTAAATGTCGAAGAAAGCAAGTCTGCGAGTTTCTGTCCGGAAGAATCGGAAAAAATGTCATGCAGAGAAATATGAAAAGCAGTTAGTGGTAGGCGAAAGCGAACTATAAAGTGACAGTTATCAGCAAGTTTGAGTTGTCACTTACTTGATAGAGGATAGAAGAAAAACAGGAATAATAGATGTTGTGGCAGAATCTGATGATAGTACATCTTCGATTTTGAGCTGACTATGCAAATGTTCTAAATTCTTGTAAATGACTTGAAGTTCCTTTTACCCGCCACTGAATATAACGCCGCATTGCATTGCTTCCGGCGGGCGAAAATAATCTCAAATGAATATCACTCTCGTCGCTGCGGTTTTTGTTCCAATCCCCTCGGCTGGACGTGTTAGGGGCATTGTGTACTTTCAATTAACTTGACTCACGCAAAGAATTGTAAAACATCGTTATAATAGCACGTTTATGAAATATTTACTCTTCTGTCAGGGGTTCAATGCGGTTTCACAAAAAGGTCAAGCGGAACAAGGTGAAAACATAGTGCTTCAACCACAATCGAAAAGCCTTTATTTTGGTAATTAATGAAAGTCAAAGTTTGAAAGAAACCATAGTTTTGCGCTCGCTTGTGTTAGAATTACATCACAGGCGGCGTGTTCAGTGAGATGTAAAATTTGAAAGAAGAAAAAAAAAATCGAACGATAGGACATGTAAATGCATTCCAAAACAAGAGAGAAGTCGGTTCGAAGGTATGCATGTTTGTATTCGAAGATAGATGAACAAGTCTTGTCGCCACCAGGGTTTTAATCTCCCCTTAATGGCCACACGTGCACCTGTGGTTTTAGCTACTTAGCGCAAAGGCTGTGTCGTAGACAAAACTGTGGTAACCTCTTGGGAAAAACCAGCTGGAGTAACTTGAGAGATAGACAGCCGGAGAGAGTGCATTTACTACAGTTAATATACTCCGGTTACTAGGGGTTTTAGTAACCTTCCCACAAGTGGCTGTTAATGGTGGAAGTGTCTTTAACAACATGAAAATCCTTTCAATCATGTAACTGAATTCTTTCACAGATGTTTGTACCAAATTCTGTAGAGCCTTAAAGGCAGAGGTAAATCCGAGACCGGCCAACAAGCGTTTGTTGAAACCCCTGGAAATCTCTTACTCTTTCTATATTTAACCTGAATGCTCTGCTCTGAAATTGAAAGAACCAGTAGCAGTAGGTGGTTAAATGTTTTTTATGTACAATCGCTAGGCACTGTGCAAAGCATTTGCGAGATTTCTGTCTGAAATCGACTCAACACGAAAATTTGCGCGAGTATGTAACAAAAGAAGCTCCTTCGCCTTCTCTACTAAGAAAACGAGAGAAGATAAACACACATAAAAATTAACTGATGTAAAAGAATCTACGAATTCTTGTCTGCAGACATAACACGCAAATTTGTGTATGCATCTGTAGAATCTACTTAAAAACCGAAAAATGCCAGTAACGTTTGACTTAAATGTTTATGGAAACGTTTGGTTATCCCTTGTCCAGTACAGAGTGCATCATCTTTCGAGACGTAAAAAATACATATCAATCAGTTTTTCACGGAAGGCGTAGTGGATATTGTTGTTAATCCACGAGACAAAATCGCGGGGATTATTCTACAATACTCACTAAGCCTGAGGGGAATCATTATTTGAGTATGTAATTGCTACGTTTATTATTCACAGTCACTGCATTTTATTCCATCAAACTCGTTTCTTCGTTGAGAACATCATATACTCGCACAAAGGCCAATTTGAAAAAAAGTGCTTCAGCATTAATAAAACCTAGCGCGGGGTGATTATCGTGCAATATGATGCAACTCTCGACCAATCAGAATACGCGAATATCTATCACCAAACCAAAAATACTAAACCTGAAAATGTGCCAAAACCATCGCTTGAGTTCACAAAAACTCAAAAAGTAATTATTCGAAGGAACGTATGTCTGCTTTACACATAATCTTTCTATAATCTGGCAGTGTTTACAAGCACGACCCCGCAAGCCCCCTATTCGCTACTTTCGCATGACCCATAATGCCTTGCGCCTTGGGGGGTAACCTGGACTTCAGTGGGCGCCATCTTGGATTCTCGTCGGACGAGGCTTCTCACCTAAATTAGATGTATCTGATGTCACTTGAAGCGTCGACGAGATTCTAAAGAAATCCGTTAGACCGTCAGTACAATTCAATATCATTTTCTTAAAGCTGGTTGATAATGTTGTTCTTCTCATCACTCGTATCTTTGAAAACTTCCTATATTTGTGAGGAGAATTCGTAAGGTCGTCACACTCAAATAGCAAAGCTCTTCGTAGGTTTGTTTAGTGACCATGTTCAATCACGCAGTGATTCAAAAACACTTCTGCGTATGGCACGTGCCCGTCCTTGTAATTTTTCAGTCCTCAGGTAAGAATCAAAACTTTGTTTCTCAACAAGTTCAGCTGTATCTCGCCTCAAAGTGCTGCTTTCTGTTTGACTCATTGAGCGCTTTTCGATAGTATTCCAAGACCAAGCAAGCCACTGTAACTACATTGGCCAAACAAAAGGAAGGAAGACGTCACAAGTGAAACATACAAACTGCGTGAAGCGCGGGAAAACCATGGTGACCAAGCTGCGATTAATTTAAGTCTTGCATCTCATTGGTTGAGAATGTGGCGTGAGTCTTCTAAACCAATCGCAGAGCGCGGTGAGGCAAAGCCAAAGCACTCCTGGATTACGCAGACACTCGCTCAGAAAAATGCCCTAACACCAAGGACCAAGATCATTCTGCGACAGATTTGAACATTTGTCGGACTGCAGGCTTAAGAGCAAGGTCTTCAGCAGTCAGCCCTGAACAGTCTGTTATGTTTCTATTAGCATCATTTAAGCGTAATAGAATATCCACACATGCTTCATGGCCGGCCGCTGAGCTGAGATGGAGAGCTAGGAATACACAAAAATAACTTGTAACCCTTTACACCCTAACATCAGTAGGCATATTCTCCATACTGTTCTCTATACATTTCTTAAGGTGCAGACAAGGAGAATTTGTTTAGCAATCAAGAGCTTTTTTAGTTGGTGATCATTTTCTTTATTCTCCTGACCTTATTGTGTGATATCGTAAGGAGAAATTAGATGCTGGTCACTC